CTTGTTAACTAACCTTTCTTTGTTTTTATCTGGGGGTGTAGGTTGGACGTGTAGTCGAATTTGTTTTAGATTGTCAATAGGCTGTATCATAGCCTCCTCTATACTGACAAAGCCTGGCAGATCGCCTCGAGACGCGGCCGCTGAAAGTGAAAAAGTAGAGCGGCAGAAAACGGCTGAGAGAAAAGTGAGGTGAGTGACGGGAGCCCCGCTGCGGCGAGACGCCGAAACAAACTTCTCCCGAGCGATGGAATGTCCGCTCGTGCTCCTCGCGTTCCTCGCGCTACCGCTTCTCTTCTTGTCAGGTTTGAAAACCATGTTTCGAATCCTCGCCACTTCAAAATCTGTGCGCTAAATCCAAAGTTCCCCGAGAAGTGCTCTGTGCTACCAGATCCTCGCACTCCAAATCTGCGACCGGGCACTCTCTGACTCCGTTGTCGAACTGCCAGGCTTTGTGAGTATAGAGAAGGCTATGGCTATATCCACCGACGCAAGTTTGTTCATGAGTTTGCTATTATACGCTGTCTGGTGTGCACCGAATGAGAGCATTCCAAGAATTCATATGACACCCTCAAATGCGCAGTGCACGAACTGCTAAATTACCCAAGCACAAAGGAGCAGGCTACGAGCTTAGTTACACGCGCTGCTCGTGCTGTGTCTGCAATGGTACGTAATTGTTCTAAAGCATAACTCTAAAATAAAAGCACTTTAGACGAGCGTTCGGCGAAGCCCTTTTTGGTACGATTTTTGTTTTTCAACGTTTAATTTCATAACTATTGTTTTAGTATGTGCTATATGTTATATTTGGCTAGGTTTTAAATTTTCCGAGTCACGCTCTATTTAGATGTTTTCCAACTAAGGTTAAACGACCATGTGCATTGCGATGCACACGGTCGTTTATGCTATGGCTATCTCTCCCTGCAGCTCCTACGTATCCCCCTCCTTCCCTCCTCCTCCTTCTTCTCCTCTTCCTTCATAAACACCCGTCCCTCACCTCCTTCTCCTGCGTACCCTCCCATCCTCCTCCCTCATACCCTCCCCTCATCTTCCTCCATATCCTACCCTCCCAACACAGTTTTCCAGCTAAACATAGCTGAAAAATTGACGCCACGTGACCTCAATATCAATTCAGTTTCTCCTCTAAATTGAACGAGGAAAATGACGTCACATCACTTTGTGCCACGTCAGCTAATAACAGAATCAGTTTCTCTGCTAGATTTAGCGGGAAAATTGACGTCACGTGACCTCAACAGCAATTCGATTTTTCGCAAAATTTTGAATGGCTGTTGGGGTCAGGTGAAGTAAATTCCGGGCTAATTTTAGCGAATTGAATTGGTGTTGAGGCCACGTGACGTCGATTTTTCTGCTAAATTTAGTGCGGTTGCGCCGACGGCGACGCCGACGCCGCAAAACACGGAAACGGGCGCCAAAAGGACCTGTGATACTGTGGCAATACGATCGCAATTGCAACACAACACTTCGCGCAACAGTCGGGCAACTTGTTGCTCGCTCCCTGTGTTGTGCAGAGGGAAGCTGAAGAGGTCCTTGAACAAACGAGTTACAGGTGAATTATAAAGTATTTTTATTCCATGATTTCGTACATCACGTTTGTTTTCACCGAAGATGTAACTGAACGCGAGAAAACACGAAAAACCTCCGACCAGTGGTTACCTATTGGGCCGCCAAGCGCTTGTCGCTAGTTTGTACACTGACACAAACACTGACATCATCGAGCTGACACCTGTCGTGACGCCTTTTTCTGACCTTTTTTGGAAATAGCAAGAGTGCTTAGTGAAATAGCAAGAATGCGCTTAATAAGTCTTGTATTCATTCACTTAAGGTTAGCTTTGATGCTCAAACTGCCAGGTTAAAGTCAACAGGATATCCTAGTGCATTACTTACAGCCGTGGCAGAGGATTTATTAAAGAGAATAAGATGGGGTGAACGACCTAAACGCAGTACAGAAAAGAAAAGGACGGCCGTTGTTCCATATATACATAAAGTTTCGCACGGTCTAAAAAAGATAGGTAACCGCATTAACATTAATGTTGCTTTTTCAGCACCAAATAAGCTTCTAAGCCTGTGCAGGAAGGTAAACGGATCGGCACACCGGGAAGTTGGTTGTTCGAAAAAGCACCAAAAGAGCTTTGTAAATTGTACTGAAGGAGTCGTATATTCTGTCCCACTCTCATGTGGTAGAGAGTATATAGACCCGTTGCACTCGGGCAGGGGGCGCGAGCGCGTCCGCAAGACGCGATCATGTTATGCTGGCAGCACAATCCAGGCGGCGCTGTAATGTTCGATTCTGCACGTGCAACGTTCGAATGCAAGCATCTGTCAGCATCTGTAGACGCGCGATAACAAAACGTCTAAAAAAAATAAAAACTAAAATTAAAAAAAAAAAAAGAATTATGCAGCTCGCGGACTCAGCGTCCCATTCAGCCTTATTATTTTATTGCGTTCTTTCATCGCTTCCGTGAGCCCGTATGTTTCACTTTACGTGATAGCGAAGCTGAAGCTACTTGCAAAAACATGTTCCCTTGAACGATGCTCGCACTGCACGAGCGCGCGTGCTTGGAAGGGACACTGCAAGATCGGAGCTCGCTCTTGTAGCCTCTGCTACACTGGCGGTTAGAATGGAACGGAGTATAAAAACTCTAGTGGGGAAGCGTAATGACGCACGTTCGAAACGTGAGCCAAATATTCTATTTTGCTCGCCTGGAGCGCTGCTCAAAACTTGAGAGCTACGGGCCCATAGGCCAGACTGGAAGGTGTCTGAACGATCGTTTAATACCCCTGTTATACCCTTGTTACACGGGCACGTTTAACTGCAGTTACGCTAAGCCACAGATAGCGCACAATACTTGCGGACAACATTCTGCGGCTATTCAGTCAAAGCTATGGGCGCACGTGCGCTTGAGCATCTTGAGCATCTATCGAAGCAGTGCGCGCGCCCTCTTCACTTCTTCTGAAATAGCTGTCAGAGAGTATAGTGCGGTATCTGTGGTGCCGCGCAACAGCAGTTAAGCTGAATTAACCGTGGTTAAGTGTGCCCGTGTTATACCCTTGTTACACGGGCACACTTAACTGCAGTTAAGCTAAGCCACAGTTAGCGCACAATACTTGCCGACAACATTCTGCGGCTATGCAGTCAAAGCTATGGGCGAACGTGCGCTCGAGCATCTTGAGCATCCATCGAAACAGTGCACGCGCGCTCTTCACTTCTTATGGAACAGCTGTCCGAGAGTATAGTGCGGTATCTGTGGTGCCGCGCAACAGCAGTTAAGCTGAGTTAACCGCGGTTAAATGTGCCCGTGTAACAGGGGTATAACAGGGGTATTACACGGGCACACTTAACCGCGGTTAACTCAGCTTAACTGCTGTTTCGCGGCACCACAGATACCGCACTATACTCTCTGACAGCTATATCAGAAGAAGTGAAGAGCGCGCGCGCACTGCTTCGATAGATGCTCAAGACGCTCAAGTGCACGTTCGCCCATAGCTTTGACTGCATAGCCGCAGAATGTTGTCCGCAAGTATTGTGCGCTATCTGCGGCTTAGCGTAACTGCAGTTAAATGTGCCCGCGTAACAAGGGTATAAGAGAGCATTTTTATAACACCCACCGAGTCGTAGCTGGACACTTGGGAATCCATTGTCGCGATTGTGGCTGTGTAGCACATTTTGAAAATTGTTCTGTAATAGGTAGGAGTAGAAACGCATTGACTAGAGAAATAATGGAAGCGGAAAGAATAGCACAGCTGAAGGACAAGTGTGTAAGTAGTCCTTCTATAGCGCTGTCGACCAAAGAGCTCCAATTTCTATCTAAATGATAGCGATGAGGGAGAGGGACGATTTGTAAAAGTGTTTCGTTTAGATATGTTCCCGTTTCTTCATTTTTCTTCTCTTTTACTGTTCTTTTTGCATTCACTTTAGAATTTTCCTTTGTATTTTATGCTACTTCTTTTACTTATCACGTCCTGAAAAGTCAACCCAGACGTTGAAGAGAAAAATGAAGTAATCGAATACACAAGAGTTGTAAGTTGAGCGCGTGTGCTTGTCTTCCTGAGTGTCTGGTGTGAGATTGATTTTTCCTGCGCTGTCACCGTCAAGCAAGAGTGCGCGTGCGCAGCTTTAATAGGCGCTGAAGATGCGCGAGAGCGGAGATACAGAAAACTCCTGATACGACGTCACGCTCCGAGAAGGAGGGCATTCAGTTGTACTTTGATTATGATTTTTTGCACCCTCCGTGCACGTAAATGAAAAATATTCTCGATATTCGTGATCTTGGAGGTCAAATAAAGTCGATTTAGGTGTTTTCCCCCCTCAAATATAGAACCACTTCAGTTTCCTTTTAAGTCGGTAAGAGCGTGAGCCAAAGTATGCCGTTTCACGTTTTTCAAAACAGAAACAAACCCGTCGCGACGCCATTTATCTTGACGTAGCCGCGCAGAGATAAAAGAGGCGTACAGTCCCTCTGCAATATGAAAGACCCACTGAGAGTGCGTGGCTGAGGCAGTGGCTGGCAGGGGCGCTTTGAGCGCCCCGGACGATTCCATTCTCCTTCGAGGGGAGGACGCTCAAAACCGAAAGCAGAAACTGATTAGCGCTTTGCGCTTTAGCTGAGCCCCGAGTGAGCGTCCTCCCCTCGAAGCTGAATGGAACTGCCTGGAGCGCTCACAGCATTCCGCTAGCCTCATCCTCGACCACGCGCTCCCAGTGGGTCTTTCATACTGCAGAGGACTGTACGCTATAGCGGTGATGGCATGAATACCACACTTTCGATTGTTTTATGGTGTGGCATCTCGCTGATTTCGGACGTAGAAAACTGTTTTTCCCGTTCTTGAGCACTAAAAGGAAGGGAAAATCTCAGCGAGTGCGCCCCAAGTAGTGCGAGACACAATAATGTTGGCTGTACTACACAAAGGGGGGGGGGGGGGGGGGGGGGGGAGGCGCCACAGTTCGCACGAAGCTTCAGTGCAGGACAGATGTCCTAAGGCCACCCTTACTGATCTCCAATAGGAGGTGTCGGGGATGCAGTGACCTCAGACGTCTTGCGCAGCGCGGACACCGAGCCTTCCTCTGCCGTCGCTAGGTCCGTCCCCGATGACGCACCCTGCGAACCTTGTACGAGCAGCTTCACAGTCGCCGTGCGCTTCCGCCACTTGCGAATAGGCTCATAGCAGGTCCTGCATTGGGTGAACCAAAGCTACGTCACTGCGGGCTTTTATTTCACTTCTCAATACTGAAAACACCGAAGCGTTCGGTACAACTTCGATGGCGGCGATTCATTATTTTATTTGTTTGTTATGCTATGTTCACACTACGGACGCAAAGCGCCGATCTTTCCTAACGCACACAAAAGTAAGCGCAAGAAGTGGAACGATCTCGTTCATACTACAAGCAGTTGTGTGTTCTGAACGAACTTGTTCCGCTTGTTGCGCTACACTCTTAGAAGAAAAGGTCACTAAAGTCCTCCCTAAAAAGAGGAACGCTCTTGTAACATATGTTCCTTTAGAACGGGAGAAATTTTCGTCCTGAGAGCAGGGGAGAAAAGTTCCTCCGTCGCCGTCATCTCATTCTGGCGGCCCTGGATCCAGCAAATCGAGCTCAATAAGGCTTAACGAGGACGCTACGTCTATGGTGTACGAGGCGAGAGGAGCAGAAAATAAAAGCGTAACACGAGATTTCTGCAAGCTGTATTATTTCCGAAGCCGCCTTTCCTCCGCAGGTAAAGAAACTTTAGTTTCGCAAGCAGACACTCAGTCTCGTCATGGTCAGCACTGCGATGTTAAGCGGAGACAACCGATACCATGTTACTTCAATCAGTTTACGTTTTACTTCTCCGGTTCCTCCAGCCATAATTCCTTCGTCAGCCGCACATCACGGAGGAATGGTAAACAATTCACAAAACAAAGTGTCGCTCTCAAAAAAAAAAAAAAAAAGTTTGGCTTATTGTTACACGGTAACAAGAAATTATGGCGAAACATGAAAGAAAGTTAAATCGCTTGCCACCAGATGGAAGGGTCAAGCACAGTAATCGAAGTAGCTGCGCCAGCTACTTCAATTCATGTGCTACAAAAATATTTTTATTTGCTCACGCCACCATTGCACCCCGGGCCTTTCGGGCACCTTTATTATCACACATGTAGATAAATTACGCATACACCTAGCATCAGCTGAACATATACATCGAGCCAGACATGTGCCTATCTCAAATACTCTACTTAAGATACTGTATTTCAAATACTTTTTGAAGTATCTTGGCATCTTGCAAACACTTTTGATCGAGAGTATTTTATACTCTATTTTATTTACATTTCTGAGTATCCTGTACTCATTTTCTCAAATATATTTTTGACATTCCGCCATTTTCCGAGTTTCCCGGTATGAATTGGCGTGGGCGTGGCACGAGCAAACGTCAACATTCTTTCGAGCAAGCAAATTTTGTTGCTAACTCCGAATAGCTACGGTGAGTCTAATTGAGCTCGTGAAAACATCGCTTTTTTGCCAATTGTGACTCATATTTCACCCCAAAGTTCGTACAATAAAAGTTTTCCCCTCGCCTACCCAAAGGCGCCTTTTTTTCCCTAGAGTTTCTTCCAAAAATCCTCAAACAAAATGGGTGGTTTTACGGAAGTAAAGATTCTCACACTGAGGCGCAACGCAGAACGGGAACAGCCTACGACAACAATGCAGACTTGAGTTTGAAGAAAACAACAAATTGAAGAAGATGAGAAGTGGACACACGCAGGAAAGACATTTCTGTTTTGCTTGATGTATATCTGACACCACTACGGCAGAACGTCGAGGTTTTTGTTTTGTTACTTTTCTTTCTGTCGTCAGTCCGTCACTTATTGCTCTCGCGAATACTGTCTGTAAACGAGCATTGATAAGCAGAGAACAAGACAGGAAATGAACTAAGAGCTGGATGACCTCTCAAAATGCCAACAGAGCGTCCCCCAACGTTGACTGTCTTTCTGAAGAAGGTGAGACCACTGCCGTGGCTATTATGTGGGTTTTCTTTGTTATGGATCCACTCGTATACGTATCTCAAGTTCGTTCAAAGTGAACCCCCCTAATAGGGAATATGGATTGTAGTTATAAACGATGCGTCTAAGGTGCGCCGCAGGACGTGATATTCAGCGATGTCACTATTGGCGAGGCGCTCTGTCCCGTTTGTTGTCCCCACACCTCGGTGTTTACCGACCACAAGGCCTGTGCACATGCCCACACACCTTGTAGGAATATCCATGTTATCTTCTTAATAGAGCACGGGGCACAGTGTAATGTAAGAATACTAACAATAAACGAAGTGACGTTAAGTGCCGGATCTCTCCTGAAAGCAGTCGTCAGGGAATGCGAGCTTGACCTACATCGGCTTTTGTCCTGAACTGGGCACCGTGCGTGCTGCATTGTTTATGCAGGCCGGAGTTGTAACAAAAAAGCCCCTCCTGAAACTCCCCGGAGAACACGAACTCCAGCCGAACGCTGGCGCCGTATTCGGTCATGTTAGCCGAGCTCTGAGTCATTGCATTTGTTGTCCCCATTCTTGTGGTTCTAAAGTTCATCACTTAGGGCGCCACGGTCTGATCTCCTACCCATATTGGGTATTGCCACGCGCGTTACCGAGCGAGCTCGTGGCCGAATGGTTGCCACGCATCGCTTTCGCGCGGAGGCTCCTGGTTCGATTCCATGGAGCGGACTCCTCTTTTATTCATTCTTTCAACTTGACATTCTCGTAAGTTCTAGAACCTCGTCGCCTGAACGAGTTACGAATGTTCTACGCGCCGAACGTTCTACGCTAAATGTTCCAGAAACCCACGTGGGTACAAAAGGTGCTCCACGTGGCGGTCCGGGGTCAGTCTCGTCCGAGCGCTTGATCCTGCTCTTCTGCTGACATCGACGCCTGCGAGGGTAGCCTTTCTAATATATTTTGTTTTGGGTACAAGTTCGCCCCATTAAACGTTTATTTTCTTCAGTTATTCGCCGCCTCATCATTTGTCATTCATGACAATATCCTGCTCCTTATAGTTGAACTGCAGAAAATAACCCTACGATGTTTTTTTCCCCCGTTTTGTTTGGTTTCCTGTTAACAAACAATTCTGGTTAACCAGATTCCGCAGCTGTATAATTTCCGTTGTCAATGACGTCGATAGAAATTAAGCAATGCGGAAGTATCTTCAAAAGTAATTGAATTACATTTCTAAGTATTTGTACTCTACTCAAGATACTTTACAGTGAAAGTAAGTTGAGAAGTATTTTTGAATACTTTATGAAGCACGTATTTAGTAACTTAACTTAAATACTTTTATTGAGTATTTTATCCAACACTGCATGATTCAGCGCATACAAATATCAATAGAGGAGCACACGATCCCAATCACTACTTCTGAGCTCTGCGTTTCCGCATTTTGTAACGGTCGTTCTGAAGGTACAGATTTTCTCGGTGACCACCTAAGCAATAAATAATATTCCAAGCATGTTGATTTCTTTTCAGTAATGTCATACCCCTGAGAGTATTTCGAACGGCTTAGAAATAGAACATCTCAGTAAAAAGTAAACGCTCATGCTGTAATTATTTGAAAGCCAACAAATCAAGCCGCTCCACTGCGGTTCCAAGACACGTGTTTGCTTCCCCGCAAGCCTCGTCATAGCCAGTTTTCCTTTTGTAGTATTTGTTTTTCTGTTCGTGCTGTTCGCGTGCGGCTGCTGTTGTCATCTTGAACTAACCTATCTAGAGCGGGTATTCAACCAGGTGGAAGTGACGTATCATGTGCAGAGAAATCGCTTTTCGATCAATTTAAATGCAGTCAAAACCGCGACTTGCGGCAGGTGTTAAGTGTACAGCACATAGCTACGCCGTGGTGAGCTCGAAAACGTCTAGCGCTTATCCCAGCGCACCACTTGGGGTTCTGTTTCTCCAGGAACCGTAGTATATTTAAACAGCATAATAAAGGATAGTGTTTTGTTTTATCGATTTTACCTACCATCCTTCTATAATGGTAAAATTCCACACTGTAGATATACGTATTTTCGTCATACTTTCATATTGTTTAGTCCTTTCCCCAGGGCGATATTGCTCTCGGGGAAGAGACAACCGACAGTCACATCGGACACTGTACGATAGGAGCTGTTACGGCTCAGACCAGCTTTACAACATGACTATCCGCAGGTCGATCGATTGCACCGTACTCCCTAAAGCGTCTTAAATGTTTAATTTAAAGCCGAATGTCAACCTGTGACACCCCTCGGATCACGGCCCGACCATCGGCATCCATGCCCGACAGTTTACGTCATTTCCGCCCTTTGTTACACCCCTGATTCGCAAACGGTCACATCGGCGACAATTCCAGTTTTCTGTTGACAACGCACAACACTGCCATCACGATGTTGCTCTTGTGTTGGTGACACGCAGAAATACAGAACCACGTTGATTGCCGGTTGGCACTCGTCATCCGAAAACAGAACAGAACTCAGGAGGGAAGGTACCCGGGCGAGCTGTTTAGGAAACATCATTGAAAGGAAACCTGAGACTCGGACAGCACGAGACGACGCGAAGCAGTTTCCGCGGTTTCCATAACGTCGTCAAAGTCGAAACTAGGAATGTCGCAGACCGGTCGGGGTTCGAGTTCGACCAGGTTCGGCATTTTCGAACTTCTTGTGTAACGTTCGACAAAAGTTCGCCTCAGGCTCGGCTGCTATGCGCGTGTGCGACAGGCTGGCCAGTTGGCTTCGGACTGGATGGTGATGGCTAAGGGATTGAATTAAGGACAGCACTGATTGGTTATTTCAGTTAATACAGTACAAAAAAAAAAAGTTATTCACTTTTTCAGTGATTATAGTTAGTTTCTGTTAAAGGCCGACGTATAGCCTCGGTTTTCTGCAGGGAAGATAATCCTCTTAGCGCTGCCCTCTCCTAAGCTGCAAAGGGAGATAAGTTGGGGCAAGATAAAAGGTGGAGAAAATATAGGAAATAAGGAGACGGGCAAAAGTGGAAAGCACGAAGTGTACGTCGGCCTTTAATCGCAACTGTTCATACAATAAAAATAACCCTTTGCGTAAAAAAAATCTCCAAACCTAGACATGCTTGTATCAAGGTCTGGCCACACTGTCCACAAAGTCGAACCGGTCGAACCTGGTTAAAAGGTCGAAGGTCGTCGAACCAGTTGAACCCCAAAAATTCGACATAAAATTCTGGTTCGACAAAAGTTCGCGACGTTCCTAGTCGAAACGTCGTTCCGCAGTCTGCAGGCGGCCATTTTAGCCCAGTGTACGTAGCGCTGCTGATGCTGCTCCAGAACTTCGCTGTTTCTGACGGCTTCGTTTGCTCGTTTCATAAGAACAGTAGTAAGAACGTCATTGCGACATAGCTGTTCTGCACGTTTGGACTGGGAGACGGAATTACAGACGGCCTTCACTGCCGCCTGAGGCTTACTCAACTCAACAACATTCATTAAGCAATGGGCGCGACGTGTTCGAAAACCGAAACCTAAAGAAGATGAGGCGGGAAAGCGGAACCTTTCTCCCGGCTGACTAAAAAAAAAAATCTTTTTCTTTTTTTTTTGTGTCCGTTTGGAGGCGCGTCAGTAGAAGGGAGGAATACGCGCCGTTGCTACCCTTTTCTTCTTTGTTTTTTTTAGGGTGTAGGTTTGCGCGTGTCATGAAAGATGAGCGCGTTACGTCTGTAATGTGAGCATAGCATCATACTTCGTTTCACCTTAAGTGCAGACGCAGCCGACGCTACGAGCTAATAGGGAGTTTTCGTAGATCATTTTCGCCGTCCCGAAAGGCCCTCCGCAACCCGCGAACTCCACAGTCAAGGCTATCGGCGCGCAGGCGCAGTAGCAACTTCTTCGTTAACGGAACGCTTAGCGGAGGGGATAGCGCGATCTACGAAAACTCCCTAATGTGACTAATCAAGCAGCGTCAAAAGCGTAAGTCACTGGGCCTTTTCTGTTTATGATTGGTTCAGCGATGATAGAACACCTACAGAAACATGCCGAACACCATGATTTTAGGTTGTCTGATAGGTTCCATCAGCTCGTAGCGCCGGCTGCGTCTGAACTTAAGGTGAAGCGAAGTAGAGGATAAGCGCTTTGGCTGAGCGACAGCGGCCCTTATAGAAGCTGCAAAAGAGCAAGAAAGAAGTCCTACCAGGCACGGATGATCGCCACTGCAATCCAGAAGGCGGTCTGCACAAAGAGCGCCGCAATCAGGAGAACGTAGACCAGCCATCCCTTGCCTCGTAGGTAGCCCGAGGCGTACAGCCAGGCGAATGTGAGAACCATGAAGTCACCGACGCACGTGACGAGGTTGAGGACCATTCGAGCGATGTCCCTCCGGTGGTCGGCTTCCGCGAAGAACCGGCGCAGTGGCTGTTATCAAAGTTGAGTTGATATATGCGCTAAAGATGCGCGAATAGTGAAATTTCCTCTTGAATCGAAATCGAATCGAGTGCGCCAAGGAACGGAGGGAGAGGAAGAGACAAGAGCGAGAGAGGACGTCAGAACGCCGAGCGCTGGTTAAAAGTAGGTTGCGTGAATAGGGAGTATTCACTGGCGGCCCTAGCAGTGTGCGCGACTGCTGAGCGCGTGCTGACGGCAAGCTTCCATAGTTCTTCTGCAACGTGCATTCTGCACCATCAAGGTTGCCATCTCTTAGCAGCGAATTAACGTGAGCTCGTACTGAGCATGCGCTCTAAACACCGCTCTCAAATATGGCTTCTAGTGAATACCTCCTATACCTTTTTGTTTAGGGTGATGCCATCTAGTACCCGATGCCGACAGAACTCGCTCGCAGAGAAAATACAAAAGAAATCGTAGGAAACAAAATGTCGCCGTAGCAGAGTCAGAGCAAAGAGTGCGTAAAGGGACGCACTTTCACCTGCTTCAGCACACACATAAAAAAAAAAAAAAAAGCGTTTGGAACACAATCACCAGATGTCATCACGTTAAGCAAAACGCACACGGAGGCACTCTAGTTTAAATTACTAGTGAGTAGACCTAAAGCTAACAGCCTGTCTCTCCACTGCTATCGTCGAACGCGCTAGAATGCGAGAGCCAATCGCCGGACGCCGGCGTTCAGCATTTTAACGCGTTCGACGATTGCAGTAGAGACGAAGGCTGCTAGCTTTAGGTGTACCCACTAATCATTCCAACCAGAGCTCGGCGTTCTGACGTCCTCTCGCGCTCTTCTCTCCTCTTCTTCCTCAGTTCCTGGGCGCATAACTGGAAGCTAAGCGTCAAATGTCCGTGTATAGAGTGTTTTCACATGACGTCAATCCGCCATTTTGTTGTTAGAGTGAGCGAGAAAATGTTTTATTTCTCGGAAGACGAAGGAAAAAAGAGTGTGAAGAAACTTACAAGCTTTCGAACACTACCGATTTGAGCGTGTCATGTGAATCTTCGGAATACTCGTTTTCAGCAAAACAACTCGTGAGAAAAAAAAAAAAAAAAAAAACGGTGGACGAAATTACGTTGGTAAAAGCACCCTTTACATTAGTATTCTATAAAGATGGTCAAACGCAGCACGTCACCACTTTCGTTCTGCTGAGTACTCTTCAGTACTTCCTTTCCTTCTTCTTACAAAGTATTCTCCGCACTGCTGCACATCCAGTGAGCCCCTCGCCTTCAGACCCGGGCATGCGCTCGCGCGATAAAGAGAGGAGACTGACGCCTAATAACCATTCAAGAATTTTCGCCAGCAGCACTAACATTGCTGCAGAAGTAATATCGAGAACTCGAATACTAGGAATTACAAAGTCGACTCGAATTATTCGGTTAATGACTATTCGATTCGAATACAAAACTCAAATATACGCACCCCCCCCCCCCCCCCCCCACCCCGCGTATTAGCGAGAAAAACGTAATTACCGGGTCAACACACTTAAGGGTATTCTGGAATAAAGTATAGCCAGGTTGAATGCACTAAACGTGTGTTTTATACCGATGCTTGAAGTGGTAAAAAGTTTTTAGCTTTCTCGCTATTGACCAGGAAACTTCAATAAAATACAAACAGAAAAGAACAGTAATAAAGCAGCTACTGAATGTGTATATGTCAAAATTCTTGTTCCAATCAGTATAGCTATCGTCCATAGTAAAATTTCGTTCATACTATAATTGAACTGTATTTTCTACGGAAGGAGTAATTTTGCGAAGCGTATACCAAGAAACGACTTTTTTGAGGTTAGGGTTTACCTATAAGCGTTTTCCACTAAACCGCCCGCCACTAAGGCATATAATTGCTGCTCCGTGCCTATTTCACCGACCACAAACGCTACAAACACTGTGTGTGTGTAATTGAAAAGAGCCTCAGGGGGATCGGTGGCCGAGTGGTCTAGCGCACACCAGCTCGGAGCACGTGGAGCGAAAGCTCGCGCTGCAGAACCCAGAAATCCTGGGTTCGAGCCCCACCCCTGCCCGTTTCGATCTGGATGAGCATCGTACCGGCGTGCGGTCGTGTATCACTACTGCGTGATGCACGTTAAAGACCCCAGGCTAGCGGCTGTACCGCACTGGCTAAATTTCTCATCTACAGCTGGGAGACTCGTCGCCCCTCTGAGGCAGACCAAGTTCTAGGCTGTATAAACACACACACAACCCAATTTTTTTTTTAAAGAGCCTCCTGGAAGGCTGTGAGTGTCAACTGACATTTTGATTAGAGCTCTTACGATTTTCAGGAACCCCAAAGCAGCTGTGGGTCTTTTCGCGAAAAATCCGCTGCCATTCTGAGGGTTCCATGAACCAGGAAATTTCTCTCAAGTTCCTCGAAACAGCTTGGAGTCAGGGACGATTCACACATTTCTGTGAGTCCGACCGAGTACGGTTGCGATGGCTTCCGGTGTTAATCCTTTTAAGAGTTGCTATGGCGACGGGGTTTTAAGCCACTTACAACCGCCCCGTTGACATATCAATCCGTAAAAGGATTACGATACGGAACACCGTTACATGCTTCACGCGGATGCCATCGGCTTTACTAACTCAAGACATGACTATGGTCCTGCTCGAGGAGGCTCGGCGTAAAAGCGACTGAGTCTTGGGATCGTGCAGGGAGGTTAACCGATGTTCTGGTTCGCGCATATTCGCGCAGAACATACCAGTACACCACAGGCACAATTAGGTCTCGTTGGATGAAAGGACCTGGATGTACAGGAAAGATTGGGGCGTGCTAGACCAGGTCTGACAGAAGCTTTCAGACGTTGACCCGGAGAAGGAGCGGAAGCTGCAGAGCGTCAGCCTGGAACAGTTCCTGCAGATTTCTTCACGCGTGGAACCACGACACCAGTGACAAAACAAACAAGACTCAATTTTCAAGTCAGCATCCGCTTTTCAAGTCACCGCGGTCTTCAATCAATTAGGCGCCCTATTGTTAGAAGAGCGGTGACTTCGCTGCGTTTCCATAGGAGTTAAGCCTTTTTATTTTCTTTTTTTTACTTTTTCCTCAGGCAATTTCGCTCTTCGCAAATTTCATGGAAAAAAATGCACCACCTGTGCGCAACGCTGCAGAAAATCGTAACGCGGTGGGTTAAAGGGCCACTGACACCATCAAAATCACATATATATATATATATATATATATATATATATATATTAATTTTTATTATTATTCGAAACGATAGAAAACGATTCCGGGACATTACCCTCAAAATTCAAAACTTGGGAATTGAGTATTTGTGAAGTAAAAAAGACAATTTACAAATGCCGACTTCGAAGTTCCCGCGCGATCCGCGCCGTTGCGTCGACGTCAGAGTCCTGAGAGTCCACTTTCTTTCACGACTCCGTGCTGTTGCCATCGCAACCCAAAACGAGGAGGAAAAAAGCGAACGGCGGCGGGCCGAAAAAAAAAGAAAACGATTTTGAGCGGTGTCGCCTGTTTTCCGAGGGAGGATACAAATCCAGGAGGCGGCACCACAACGGACTGCGATTTTTGGTATTTCAAAAAGAAGGGCCGTAGTGCGTTCACAATCGCGTTAAAAAAAAAAGTGTTTTACGATTGCCGTTGTTAAATTTTATAGAAATGTCGCCTACAAAGCTTCTAAATTTCATGATTTTTTGACGTCACGAATCAAAAGAAGCGAGGAGGCGAGGAGCGGCAGAGTAAAACGCCAAAAATAAAAAGGCTGGCGCCCGTGTTAAAATTCTTTTTTTTTTTTTGCGATGCGTTTTTTTTTGCGTGTTTATGACTACAATTTGCATCGTTTTAGACAATAAAAAAATACGACCCTTGGGGTGTCAGTGCCCCTTTCAGAAACCGAATTTTGCGGTCGATTAAAGAGCCTAAACGCTACTTGAGACACCCGGTATAGAGGCGTTGGCTGATGGCACTTCTGCGTTGCGGGCTTTGAGCTCTCGGCTGGAGCCGGACCTCACCTGTGGCTTCCTGAGCACCTTGAGGCGATGAAGGCAGACGTCGCACTGCTCGGTGTTGCGCTCGCGCAGCCACCGCTCCATGCAGCTCTGGTGGGTCAGGCCGATGGAGCCCTTGCAGCAGCAGGGCGCTATCAGGCCACCCTGCTCGGTGTCCGAGCGCCGGTAGCAGATCCGGCACACGGGCTCATTGGCCCGACTGCTGTCCGTTGACTGCTGCTGATGTTCGTTCGGGGGCGGGTTGTCCTCCATGGTGACAACACGGCCTGTTATAGAGACGGTTTTTTTTTTTTTTTTTTTTTTCAAGGGCGTCGATGATGTACAGCGTTGCCAAAAGAATATGACTGTGAGTTTTTCACCGAAAAAAAAAAAAGGAATGCGTTGCTGAACGCTGTCTACAGCCAATTATAGCGCTGGCGGTCCGGACTAGACGCTAATCACTAATAAATCACTAAAAATCACTAATAAATCGAAGATTATTAGTGATTTTCTGAAACATTCAATCGGAGAATAGGGCGCGAGTTCTTGCTTGTTTACGTCGTTCAGTCCCATGCGTTCCTGGACTTTGTCACAGCCTCTCCGAAAATCGCTTGTGCGCCAAGAAACTGAGGGAGAGGAGGGGACGAGAACTACACGGAGACGTCAGAAAGCCGAGCTCTGGTTGGCGTGAGTAGTGGTAGACCTAAAGCTAGCAGCCTTTGTCTCCACCGCACTCGTTGAACGCGTTAAAACACAGAACGCCGGTGTCCGACATTTGGTTCTCGCCTTTGGACGAGTTGGTTGAGTGCAGTGGAGACGAAAGCACACACTTGCAAGAGAGTAGGACGGGGGAGAGACAAGAATGGGGTTTTAAGCCTTTTGCGACGTCTTAGGACTGGATGCGCTGCTCCGGGGCAGGTCCTAAGACGTTGAAAGAGGCTTAAAAGACGGTCTTGTCTCCCTCCGTCCTACTCTGTTGCAAGTGTATGAACGGCGCTTTAAGGCCCGTTCACACACTTGCGAGTCCTTAGAACCGAGGGCCTTAAAACCTCAGAAAATCTCTTACAACGGGATAACACACTGACACTCTGGCGCCATCTGTGCGGTGACCCTGGAACTGCATTTCATTATTGCGAAAGTTTGGCGGTATTTCCGAGGTCAGTAAAAGTCAGTTGTTAGTCAGCGGTGTGATTGTCCAGTCCTTTCCTTCGGGTTGTTATTGTTTTCGTGTTCAGCTGACCTGATTGCCAACAATGAAATGTACCTGTTTATGAGGAATGTTCGTTTATAACAATGACAAATGTTTTTCATTCCAAGGAAGAAATAATGATTCGCGAAAGAAAATTAAAATATACGGGAGCGCCCAGTGTTCCACTGCTACCCGATAGGTGGTGCCAGTGTGTCCTTTCGTCGCAAGAGATTTTATGAGGTTTCAAGGCACTCGGTTCTAAGAAGTCGTAAGTGTGTAAACGGACCTTAGGGTGCCTACTAATCATTCCTACCAGAGCTCAGCGTTCTGGCGTCCCCTCGTCTTTTCCTCTCCCTCAGTTTCTCGGCTCAGAGCATTTAACGAGATAACGGTTCGTTCTGAAAGTTTGACATCTGGTATTAGCTGCTAGCGATACATTTGGGCGGAGACTGAGCGTTCGACGATGCATGGTTATTTTTTGCACTATTGCGAAAATGAGCTACAGGGGGCATTCACTGGACGCCGTATTTGGGGGCGATGTTTAGGGCGCATGCTCAGAACGAGCTTACATTATTAACCTGCTAAGACCGGCAATATTGATGGTGTGGAATGCACGTTGCAAACAAAAAATGCGGAAGCTCGCCGTCAGCGCGCGCTCAGCAGCCGCGCACACAGATATGGCCCCCAGTGAATACTCCCTGTACGCCTCGTGGACAAACTTACACTGGAGAAGAGCGGAAAGCAACAACTCCGTAGACTAATGTCCTCCGAGATCGTCGGTGAGCAAAGATTTCCGGGCCGAAACATACCTGGCTTGGACTGGCGTCACATTAACTGCCATCGTGGGGGCTTTGCTGCTGAGTGCATACCGTATTTTTCGGACCCGGTGCATAGTCCGTAAGGGCTAATTTTGGGTGAAGGGTGTTTCCTTAAATAATTCGTACCTGGTGCCTAATCCAAGCGTGAGAGTTTCCTTCACAGCACACCTTGACAAATGCCCGCTTTGTCAGCTGGCAAAGAAAGTAGTGTTATACCAAAATCATCATAAACATATCCGTGTTATTCACAAAATGCATCACGTCTCGTCATAATGAACAAACTCGAATAACAAATCCTGGAATAGCCGCACCTGCGGACAAATGCACTCAGTAAAATTTTAAATTTTAAACGTGTACAGTCGGTGGGCAATATGGTAGATGTTTAAGTGCACGATTCGTCGAAAATTTCTTTAACAGTGACCACCAGAATGGCTCTATGTGAGCCATCTATAAACTTGACAGATTGCCGCCTACAAAGAAAAAAATATTAAGATACGTTTTAGCTTGCTGAAAACGCCGAAAGGCGTTTTCTTATTACTGAAAGGTACAGAAAAAGAAGTACCATGTCGCGTTTGAAACGTTGGGCCACTAGTTTTGTAAGGATTGGATGAAGTTCCTTTAATATTTCCTTAGAAAAAAAATCAAAATGCAGGCAATCTGCTGCGTATTAATCATGATGTTGTAACCTTGAGGCGGGGAAGAAAACTTGAAGAAGTTTCAAGGGATAGAAGAAGGTGGACGGACAGTTTGAGACGAGTTTGAGACGCTCTTTGTCAACTGTATTGTAAAAGCTTGGTCTGATGGGCAAGTTGGTAATTGACATTCATATTAAAAATAGCGCAAAAAAGACGGGACAAAAAGACGAAGAAGCACACAGGACAAAACCTAGGGACCTGTTGTTAACAAATTTTGGTAACACGGTTGACAGGCGTAGACGCAGTTATGTTTGTGTGCGTGCCCTTTGACAGAACTAAAAGTTAAGTGAGGCTGATAATGATGCATAACGCTCACGGTCTTAGGCTGCAATCATTAGGCTACTCGTTTGAGGTGTTCTATGACATGGCAGCGAATTGTGTCTGTTTCCTTTTCCCATAGAGACAAGTTTTTTGCTTCTGTATTAGCCAAGAGCCTGCAACCACTCCTTGGCGAGGGGACCACGTAATGGAACATGCAAATCTTGCAACCTATCCGCTTGCGAAAAGGAGTGCGATGGCGTTGACAGCCTATGCAGGCACTTTCTGAAAACCGCGCAGTTGAGTCGCTTTTGTGCTGATACAGCTAATTCAAGTTTTATGTCTGTTTCATTAGTTTAAACCCATCGGTTACCGCAGTTGACATCTGGACAGAAAGGAAAAGTGCGCTGCATTCCGGTATCCGGGGTGAATCATAACAAAATTACAAAACGTTTAAATAAAAAAAAAAAGAGAAAAACTGTGCAAAAAAGACACTGGGACAAGTGGAAGACACAACAACACAGCGCTTTAATAAATGGGGGTCTAATAATGGCTTGAAATAATGACCCGTACGTCTAAAAAACACATGTGGCGCGTTTAGAGAATGAAGTAAACAGGAAGACGCATAGCAATTATTTATTGCGTCGAATGTTATTAAAGCAATGCGACCGTAGCAGCGAAACTATCAAAGTCACAGCTCTTGGAAATTTCCACAGCTAACAAACACTCCGAAAGATATTCTAGAGTGGGAAATATTTGATACGTTATTCCTGCTTAAAGTTGTATAGGAGTTGATAATGAAGTCCTCTTCCTTTTGACTTTCCCACATTTTTTTTTTATTTTAAAAAACGTGAAGTCCTCAGAAAGTGGGTAGGTTTAATCGATAATCAAAAAACCGTTTCGGGTTGCGTCTAATTATAATTCGGAGAAAACAAATCACGCACATGACAGCAAAAGTAAGATCACATTTGTGCAGACTAATGTAGTGAGAAGTTGAATATGCATTTGATATTTGGCAGTATCTGGCAATCGCTGTAGAACTAGAGTGTGTTGTGTAAGACTAAGCATGACTGAGTGGAAACACAAAGTTAAGTGGCAGTCATTAAAGGACAGCAGAAAACACCTCCGTCCCAATTTTTTAACGATATTTTTTATGGTAAGACTAATGTAGAAAAAAAAATATCTGAAAGCGCCTTTTTAGGTATCCAGTAGGAACGAGTCACGACCATGCTTTAAACATTTTCGTAGAGGCCGCACGCGATTGGAACTCCCTTCCATCACGCGCTGTCTCAGTAGCTTCCAATGACGCCTTTTTTCATGCACTGAATGTGCGAGTTTTTTATGTGTCTGTATTTTGTTTGTCCCCCCCCCCCCCACACACACACACTGCAATGCCTGATGGCGAAGTAGGTGCCTGAATAACGATAAAGATAAAGAAAAGTATAACTATCATATGTCTCGAAATTTTTAACGCCTTGGTGGGCTCTTTTACTGTGTCATAGACAACGTCTATGCTTTGTTCACCCCGAAGCTGACAGTGAGGTAAAAGCTACAGGCTCGTTGAACCAGACAACCGTCTATTTATCGCCGCATAATAAGCCCTCCCATTCACGCTCCGAAAGAGCGGGGTCAGGTGATCAAAGGGAGGCAGCTGATTGGTCCAACAAGCACATAGCTTCCACCAAACTGCGCGGCCGCCGCGACCTCAGCAGAGCTTGCGAACTTGAGATGCAAAATATATGTATGGTCCCGTCCATAGTAATAAAAGTTTGGCCTAAATATACCTTCCCGGAAGATTGCAGGGGACCTAGCGGTTATTCCACATTGCATTGCGCGGCAAGGGGATTTGTGGGGCTGTTTCCTTTTTATGAACACTTGTCAACTTGGACACCCCGTATATTCTGAAAGCTGCGCAACCCCTTCATTCTCTCTGATCACTGCGAGGTCAGAACAAACAGAAAATAAAACAAGCACAGAACAAGAACATTACGTGCTATGTTTTGCTTTCCCCCTGCCCGCTTAACGTTTTGAAATCACAAAATGAACCAACATAAATTCCGTCATCTATCCCTGAGGGATCTTTCACGTGCCGTGCATAGGATTGTGGCCTCCGAGATTCTCGGCGCACCAAGTTCTCCTCCAGCTCTTCCAAACACTCGTCTGCCCAGCAGAAAAAAGCGTATAGCACAGCTTCTCCAGAATGATACAGAACCAGTATCAGCATCCCAAGCGTTAACTTTGTGCACGCGTAATAGACGCCTTACTCACGCGCCAAATCACACCATTACAGCCGCCATTGCTAGCCTTCTCTCG